GATGAACTGTTCGTCACGTGTTTGTATTCTCTGGAGAACGGTCTCTCTGTCCTTTGCCCACTGTCTTGGTTACTTTTCTCTCACTGGGACAAAATACCTGATGCCCAAAATTAAGGAAGGAAAGGTTTATTTCACTTACAGTTTGTGGAGGTTTCAGTCCATACTTGGCAGGTTACAAGGCAGAGTGACGCATGGCAGAGGGCTACAGCTCATGGCGGCAGAACACAGCAAAAGCAACAAACACACGAGGGAGGAATGGCTGCAAGCAGCCTCTTCCTCTCCCTGACATATGCAAACTATCCACCCCAGGGCAGGTGTAGCTCTCACACCCATAATCAATCAAACTCTAAAAGCCTGCCCCATGACCGCTTGAGGGTTTGGGGGGACACACAGACACAAACCATAACACCCACTTTTTAATGGGGCTCTTTGTCTATGTGTTGTTGGTTTGTAGGTGTTTTTTGCCTCTGGCTGTGAGACCCTCATCACATTCCAGCCTGACTTTCTTCCTGACCTTGCTCAAATGTCACCTTATCAGGAAAGCTTCTCCAGTGGGCATCAGCAAAAGAGCAGCTCACTCCATCCTTCTCATGCCCTCTGCTTCGTTTTTGTAGCACTGATGACCGCCTAGAACACTATGCATTTCTCCTGCAGTGTCGCTGTGGGTGTACAGTGAGGACGGTTTGCAGGTCTCTTTTCACCCCACAGAGTGCAAACTCTACAAAAACAGGAACTTTGTTCTTTCATTCATCTGTACTCCAACACCTAGAACAGAACCTAGCACGTATCATCCCCCAATAAATATTTGCAGCATGAATGATTGAGGATAAAATCGCTCCATTCTTTTCAGAGGTGAAAATAATTCCTTGAGGTTTTATAAAATAGGAATCCTAAACCCCAGTTTCTCAAACCTAATTTCTCTGCTCATCGAACTTTTTGTTTTCACGCTGGGAATCGAACCCCGAGCCCTCACACTGAACTATAACTCCAGTCCTTTCATTTTTTTTTTTTTTTCTTAAACAGGATCTTGCTAAGTTGCTAAATTTCCAGGCTGGATTTGAAATTTTAACCCTCCTGCCTCAGCCTCCCAGAGTGCTGGGATTACAGTTAAATTATAGGAGATATTCAGTTCCATTTGAACGCTTGCCCCATCAGCTTACTCTAGGATGTATTTTGCCATCAGCTCACAAAGGCAGCTGCCCCTATCTGTATACCCTTTGCACTCTTGGGTCTGAACTGCTTATTCTACCTGCACAGGAGCCATTACCAAACCAGTCTCTAGTCTACTGGCTTTTCATGGTCTCCTTGTTCCTGACCTCACCTTCCCTTGGATGTGACACTCAGCACCGTTTTTCCAGCTCTGCCCCTCAAATACCCATCATATTCTGTAAACTTTGCTCTTTATCCACTTATTCTTGGAGCCCTGTACATTCATCCATTTTCCTGAGCCAACATTCACCAATTCCTCCTCTGTTGGTCCTGTACTGTGAAACCAATAAAGAATGGTTCATGGTACATTACATATTGTTATCCTCAAAGAAGTTGCTCAGATTACTAGATGTAAGAATACAAGATTGATCAGACAATTAAAGAGAATAAAAATAATTTAAAAAAACATTAGGAATGGTACAGAGTTTCACTAATCAAGATGGTAGGAATTTAACAATGGTTATTATATTGCATACTGTTGTCTTCAAATATCTGGTAATCTGAGCAACTTCATTCATGATAACAATATGTAATATAACAACCCTTGTTAATTTCCTGTCTTGTTTTGAAATTCTATATCATTTTTATTGTCTTTGTGTTATCTTGTTTTTATTTTTGTTGTTGTTTTGTTTTCCTTTCTCTTTGAAATAAAAAAGAATGGTTCATGATAACTGTTGGTTGAAAACAGTTGAAAATGTAAAACTTGGAAAACACTTGAGGATTTTGTTCCATTTTAATAGTCACAGTCTGTTTTTATTTGGGTTGGGCTGCTAACAGCAATGCCATCTCTCTTCTCACTACTAGGTAAGGCTTGTAATCTCCTCAACAATTACTTTTTGGGGGTGCCAGAACTATACCCATGGCCCCTCCTCAACAGTTAAGAACAGAGCCAGACATTGTAGCACATGGTTGTAACCCCAGCACTTGGAAGGCTGAGGCAGGAGGATTTCAAGTTTGAGGCCAACCTGGGGTACTTAGTGAGAAGCTAGAGAGAGAGAGAGAGAGAGAGAATTATCACCTGGGAACATGGCTCTGCCAGGTCTAGGGTCCCATCCAAAAGCCTGTCCAATACCCATTGCCCCCTTGAGTCTGATGCTAGCTGAAGTGTGAGAACCTCTAGCCCAGAACATGATGGATGTTGGGATGTGCTCCTGGCAGTGTCACTCAGCTGCAGGACCAGTGGGTGAATTTTCAAAACAACCCAGCCAGATAAGCAAGGGGCTGTCACTTTGCAGAAGTATAAAGCACATAGACCCACAGTTAGGATCTGCCTCAGATCCAGAAGGAATAGAGAGAGCGAGACCCCTGTGGGGATCGCTTGTTAGTAACAAAAGGATTGAGACTCATCGGCAGAACTCTTCCAGGGCCACAATCCTTCCCAGTGTTTACTGAGTGATCATAAAGCAATATAGTAACATGGACCCAAAACTACCAAAGATGAAAGCAAATCTGCGATGTAAGACCCATTGATTCCTCCCAACGAGTCTAAAAGTTAACATGTAGATCTTCTTGTGTAAAGCAAAAAGTACTTCTGCAAGGCTGGAGGAATGGTCTTGTCAAACTGCAACTTTAAACATACAATTTGAGACACAATGCAGGAGTTCCCAGGAGATCTACAAGGAGGAAGATGATTAAAAAGAGACATTCTTGAGATAACTACACTTGCTGCCTATTTTCTCACATCTTCAAACCCTCATAAAAAGCCCAATCTGTCACCCTGACGGAACAGTTCCTTTCCTGGAACTCATGCACCATAGTCCTCCTTAACAGTGAACCCTGACCTAAATAAATTTACACTGGGGTACATTCTTTTACCATCCGTGTCCCTGACCTTCCGTACGCTGTCTTGCAGGGCAACAATGATAGAGGAATCAAAATGAAAAGATGGGCTAGGGACCTCGAGGCGTCCTTTGCTAAAAAGCCCTGACACTTCACTTAGTCCTGCAGGGGTCCGGTGAGTAACTAAAAGCAAGATAAAATCTTAGCATCTCTGGTCATTTTGTATCTGTCTTCTTTACTACCTTACACTTTGGGTCAGATTCCTACTCCACTCTGCATGTAATCGTATTAATCACTTAAGCAGTGCTTGTCTAAAAACTGGTAATGCAAGGTTGATTAGTCCTAAATGTACCCAAGTCCTCTTGTCCCCTCTCAAGACCAAAGGTGCCAAGATAAAAATAGCTAAGTTATTTTCGAGATTCAAAAAAAAGCAAGGCTTAGGACTACCTCCTAAGCAGAAGCAATCATCTGCTCATAGGAATGAAAATGTCCCCTCAAGGGACAACTCCTCGAAGAACCAGACCTGAGATAAAGATTAACCACACCCCAGTTTTACCAAGATTCTTAACTGTGCATGTCTATTGCCCCTGCCACAATCCTTCCCCTACATAATCCCGGGACCCTTGTCAGTATCCCAAAGACAGGGTTTAGGACAATTTTCCCCTACTTTTCAGTATAGCTAATAAAGCTCCCTCTCCAGCTTCACAACTGCTTGTCTCTTCTATTGGATTTTTGGGACTGGCGACCAAAACCAGTCCACTGGGGCCTCCCCAAACCAGGGCTTTCACCCTAAACCTCCGGTAAGAAGGACACAGTTTGAGCAATCTTTTTCCAAACTGCTCTAATCATAGGAAGTCTTCCCTGTGTTTATTGTGGAGATTGGACAAATCCCTGCATTTAAAGCTTGCTCACTTTTCATTGGAGAACCAGTGCCAGTTCCAAAGCAGGAGAGGATGTGGAGATCCTGCAATTCTGAGAGAAGTAAAGCAGTCTAAAATGCGAGCGTCCCAGCAACAGACCTAGGAGTGGATGGGAATGTGTCCTGTGTACAGAACTTGTTTATTAGGTGAACTTGTGACCCGGCCGTCCTGGCAGCTCTGCGCGGGACGGGAGGCAGATAAAAGGTTTGCCTGCGCAAACAGAGCTGTCTGCAGCAGACCCTCTGGGGCCCTTTGTGGTCTCAGCACTTTTGCGGGAGACACTCCCTCACTCTGCCTCCCTGGAGCCCCAGCTGAGCATACACAAAGCAGCTCTGTTCCCTGCCCACTTGGCAAAGCTCTGTTGGCCCAGCCTGGTAATAATGTCAATGACGATGATAACAAATAATAGTCACCACTCCCTGGTGCTCACTGCATGCCAGGCACTTTGCTTGAAGGAGCTTTTTCTCCTCAGACTTACAAAAGTCCCATGAGATAGATACTGTTCCTGGCCTCCTTTTATAGAGGAGGAAAAATGGAGCTCAGAGAAGTGGAGAAACGTGTCCAAGTCCCCAGGAGAGTAAGTAACAGAGCTGGCATTGCCCAGAGCTCTCAGTTTTACAGTTAAATTGCAGCAGCACCTTCCAATAAGGACTTTTTAAAAGGTAGGCTTTTGTTACTCTTTGAGCAAAGGGGCAACTATATAAACATGAGAAAAGTTTCAAGAGGTACACTAGCTTATCCAGATTATAAATCCAGAAGGCAGCAAACATGCTTCTGTTCCCACTCTGTGATTCACTCCCCCTTTGCTTCTTTGTCTGGCACACCTAGCATCAGACAACACCCCTTTCCTGAGAACAGACCCCTCTCATCTGTGGAGCTGACTGAGGTTTTGAGGGCCAATTTGTGCCGCAGTTAAACATCCAGACTCAGGAGTTCCGCACACCTGTTAGAATCCCTGGCTCTGATCACAAACAAACAACTTTATGTCTATCTCCTCCCCTCTTTCTTTTACTTTGGATATAACTTATGTGCATTAAATTCAGTCTTTCAAATTTCAGCTTCAACAAATACACACCAGTATCATGTACCTACCACAATGATCAAGGCAGAGCGGCCTCCAAATGTTCCAGCTCCTTAAATTGTCAACCTCTCCCCCTCTGCAGGCCCAATGGTGGTTTTTTTCCTAGAATATTATTAAATGCAGTGAGTGGGGAACCTTTTGAATCTAGCGTCTTCTCAACGCACTATGAGTCTAAGATGCGTCTGTGATCCGTCTGTATAGTTGTGTAGACTGGCAGTTCCTTCCTTGTTACTGTTGGCCAGCAAGAGTCTTAAAGTAGTAACGGTCAACATGAGCTGTATATCATGGGAAACACCTGTTGGGCTATTGGAGCAGCACCTGTTAGGTCTCGGCTCACTAGTTTCAGGAGGGCACAGCTGGAAGCCAGGATAGACTCCTAGGTGCTGAAACACATGCCCCAGAGACGGCCTAGATGATCTGAGTGGTGGCTGCTGATACAGGATGCCTGTGGGAACTTGCTTCGGTGATAACGGAAGTCAAAACTGAGACAACGAGCAATTACAGGTAAAAGTTTTAATTGAGAAAGAAGAAAAATAGGAAAGAACTTCAGCTTGAAGAGAAGAAAAGCTGAAGGGGGCACCCCTCTGACAGAGAAAATCAGACTGGCCTGTTAACACAAGCAAGAGACTGGCCTTTACAGGTGTAGTCATGGTGGGCTAGGTCTGGTAGCCTAGGCTGGGTCACGAGTGTAGCACTGTTTTGAGGGTTTTTTGTTGTGTTTTAGGGAATCTGCTCCCTGCATAGGATGTGGCTTAGTGGTCATTCTCACCCTCGCAGATGTCGTGCTGCCTCTTGCTGTCCTAGCACATCTGGTCCTCGCAATAACAGTCGGAAGATCAGGGGAGGGTGTGTTTCATATACTGTTGGCAAGGAAGGATCGGAAAAGAGATTTGTCTTTCTTCTCCTTTAGTGGATAAGAGGTTGTGGACTAAGGACTGAGAATCTCTTGTCCCCATGAGGGTGCCAGTCCTATTTCAGTGGCGACTAGGAACCCTTGGGCATCAACACGCCCATGGGCTGGGGAACCCTGAGAGACTTAGGTCATGGATGATAGGGGTCAGGGTCAGGACACAAATTCAGTATTGTCTAGCTCTAGTCCAGCTTTCTCCCTACTTCTCCACTAGCTTCCAGCCACATCCTTAGGGAGGCAAGCACTGCGGGGCCAGGCCATGCTATTCCAAAGGTCAGAGGGGAGGCTGATAGGGAGGGAGGCTGATAGGTCAGAGAGGAGGCTGATAGCTTTGTGGTGAGGCCTGGTGACATCCAAATCCTTACCAAGGATGTTTCCTGGTGGTCTGCAGAACTGGGTCACAGCGTTAAGATACCCTATCACACCTACTAAATCAGCATCTCGAAGTACAACACGCAGGTCTGTAATTTTCAGTAAACTTCTGTAAGGGTGCTTTCACTATGTAGCCAACATCAAAAACTGCTCTAGAGGGCTGAGGTTGTGGCTCAGTGGTAGAGTTCACAGAGCCCTGGGTCCAATCCCTACTACTACAAAGGACTGGTCCCCTCCCCACAAAACCAACCAGCCAACTGACCCAACAAGCAAAATACCCTGCCCCAAAGAAGAAATAAACATATCATTCTGTCCCCAAGCAGTGGAGAGAATTGGACAGACACACATTTCTAGATACCCTTCCCACACAGTTGCCTAATTAACATAAATCTTTACTTTTCCTCTTTTTGGTGTTTGTTCTACCAAAATTCTCTTGCTCCTTAACATCTGCCAATTCTGGCGCATGAAAGAGCACACAGAGCACATGGATTCACCTGCTAAATAAAAAACCAAGAGAGCCCGGCTCTAGGCTTGGCCCTCTCCTGCTGCATTCCAAGGGAGATGGCCAGGAGTAAGGTCCTCTGGGTATCTTTTGCACCCACCCATGGAAACTTGGCAAATTCAGTGTGCGTTTTGGATATCCAGCGCCTGTTACTCATGGAAACCCTGAGTCCACGTGGACACTCTTTCCAAAGGCAAATGGAGTTTCCATTCAGAAAAATCTTGGCACCAATTTCCTCAGAACAATAGCAAGTTACAGGCAGAACCAGGGAAGGCTCTGTGAAGCTAGTGGCTGGCACAGTGCGTCAAGACTTGGCTGACAAAGGGGAGGTGTCCCTAGTGATCTGTCTGCTCAGCGGAAGCAGGTGGAATCTCTGTGTCCTAGAGCTCGCAAAGGAGATGATGTCTTCTAACACAGCCCTTCCTTGGAGAGACTTGCTTTATTAAAATATAGAAGTCCCACCCTCCAAACATCTGCAAGAACCATCAGTGTGTAAGTGTTAGGCATGTAGTTAGACGTTAGAGACACAGCAAGGTCCAGAATAGCATGCTTTGCCAGTTACAGTTAAGTAAAGAAACAAAGACCTCAAGGTATAATATATTTAAAAATCATGTTTAGGTCTCAGACTCTCTCTGTCTAGAACAAGGTGTACAGCATTCCTGGTTGCCATAACCTTAGACCTAATGATATTAGCAAACAAAATGGTCTGTAAAGACTCTCCAGCTTTGAGCTGGGCCCTGGTCTAGCATAAGAACTTACCTTTTACAAAATTTCTTTTGTAGGTTTCTTGCATGATTAAGGCCTCTGAGATAACAAAAGACATTTGAAAAGGACAGAAAGATATTTTCCCAGCCCAAAGTAACTTCTAAGTTAAATGTCAATAAGTGTCATAATTACCCTAGTTCCCTGTACTCCAGGAGTAACTTTGGGGTGCATAAAAAGGGATCCAAATTTGCACTTCGTGCAGATGCTATCGGGCACATTTGCCTTCTTACTTGAAAGCATAACTGTGTACACCTGCTTTACAATGCATCCCATGATACTTCTGTACAGCTGTCTATGTTTCGTGACTGAAATCTTTTGCCAAGGGCACAAAAGGACTGACCCAGCTTTTCAGTGACACAAGGGTAATCTGATAGACAGTAATAGAAAGCCACCAAACCTAGCTCATGCAAAAAGGAAGCCCTCCATATCTGTGGTTCTACATAAATGAATTTAACCAACCATGGAACAAAACTTACATTTATACTGAACACACACTTTTTTTCTTGTCATTCCTTAAACAATACAGTATAACAACAATTTCCATAGCATTTCCATTATGATAAGTATTATCAGTAATACAGAGATGATTTCATGTATGCATGGAGGGCCAATGGGTAGAGCTCAGTGCTAACTCATGTACTTAGTGAGTATGATACCCTGGTTTTAACCCTGGCACCACAAAAAAAGAAAAAGAAACGGAGGAGAAAAGAATACAGAATGATGTGCATGGCGCACATGCAAAGGTTATGCCATTTAATATAAGATTTTAGTATCTTTGAGAGTCCTGGACCCAAATCCCCAAGGACTCAGAGCGATGACTTAGATGAAAACAATGCAGGGCTGTGGATATAGCCTGATGGGAGAGTATTTGCTTAAATATAAAAAAATGAACCCTTGTTTTCTAAAAAATACAAAGTTCTTATGGGGTCTAACGGCAGGTGGTGTAGCTGGGTCTCAGAAAGACTCATAAAAACCTAGCACCAAAAGCCACGGCGGCAGCATGGAGTGGAATAGCTCCCACCTTCCTGTCACTCTCCTGTCCCCAGCCTCAGGCCCACGGGCTGTTCTCTGTTTTTCTCTTTCTCGGTTGAATAGTTTCTGCAGCCCCAAATACAAGCAAGAATCTGTTGAGTCCAGCTTCAGTCTGATCTCCCTTGGTCTAATCAAGTGGGGTGGTCACCCATGCTGATACTACCTGACCCCAAACTCCCACCATAGTTCACAGGGCCAGCGAGGATGTCCTTCCAGGACATTCTGTGAGGGCCAACTTGACTGTGGTTGTCACCCTCCCTTCTGCAACTGTCGGTGTCCCCCTGCCATCATGCATTTCCCTCTCTAGCCACTTAGCAGATTGCGTTGACCCAGCACGTCCTGAGGAAGCCCTGGGGGGTACTGGTGAGGGCTGCAGGAACAAGTCTCATATGCAGTTTCCTATGACTTGCACTGTAGCGGAGAAAACAAACCCTGAGGAGCTGGCAGACAAATGATCTCTGATCATGACTCTTCTCATCTTTGTTCCAAGTTATATTCAGGCTGGTCCATTTCGGATGGAAGGAAGAGGAAAAAAAAGAGAACGAATTGTGTAATGCACTCTCCCCTTCTCTAACTATGGGCAATGATTAATATTTAAAAACAGCAGTGAGTAATAGTCACGCACCCAATGTTTCCAAGCGCTCCAGCTATCTGAGGTTTCCTGGTGGGAGGATTGTTCTCTCTCCTATGGGGAGGAGGTGGAAATCCTCTGATAAGTGCATCTGCTGGAGCTCCAACTCCCACCCCACTACAGCAGCAAGGCACCTACCTCTCTGTTACCACAGACAGAAGAGACCTTTGTGCACAGAACGTGCCACCCCGCACCTCACAGCAATGGAGGAGACCGTTGGCCTCGGGAGGGTTGGCATCTCCATCAAGAACGGAGCTAAGAAAAGTCTGTGTGGCTACAAGAAGGCTTTTTGGTGGTGTGTGCATGTGTGATTTGTTTTGTTTGTTGAGAGAGGTTGCATTGCTTTTTTCTTTCACTAATTTATTCACAAAAATATTTCAAATATACTGAAAATAATAAGACACACCCTAGCTGTATACTTACTGTAGTTAATCAACGCTGATGATTAAACAGAGGTGAATATTTTTACATTTTTGCTCTGCATTCCTCCATGCGGATACGCTCTTTTTCTTTAAAAGGTCACAAGTGCAAGTGTCCCTCCTGGCTGCCCCTGCCTCTCACACAGAGGCTGGCTACACAAGTCCATGTTTTCACTGCATGTGTGGCAACCATAAATAATATCTGCTATTGCTTTGTGTCTTAGCTATGCACACGGCATACTATAAATCTCATTTAGAAAATTGCCTTTCCTGCTGCACATTATGTGTTCCAGATCGGGTGACACTGTGGCCTAGAGATACAGTTCATTACTCTTCCTGTCTCATGGTATCGTGTTGTTTGTATGAACCCCATTTTATCCATTCTCCTACCGAGAAGCACTGTACACAGTTTTCACATTTCTGCCATTGCAAATGCTGCTCCAGCATATCTTTATACAAATCTTCTCAGGCACGGTTGGGAGTTTTGGAAGGGTGGACAGCTAGCTGTGAGATTGCTGTGTGGCCACTAACTTTCTAGGCCATTTCCAGCAAATGACAAGAACTCTGCTGTCACTCCCTCAACCATGAGGTAGGCCCCTGGTTTATGACTTGGTAAGTCCCTCACAGAGAAAAAGACTATTAGAAGTTTTCCAGTAATTCTGCAAAGTGTATTTAATACCCTACAAGAAAAAAATGAAAACAAAACAAAAATGTGCCTAGTGGATTCAGAGCTAAAGAAGTGATCTAACTGAAACTGAGATTTTACAATGTTCTTTAGAGATGACGGACCTAGACATCTCTGGCCGCTCCTTGCTCTGCACCCCGGAGCTCCTCACCTCCCAATGGTCATGCAGACTGGAACCTTTCCTTTCTCCCCCTGCCCCAAGCTCTTTGGAGCCACCTCTGCAGCTGGGCTAGCACCTTCCTAACAGTCTGGTAGCACCTCAGGCTGGTGGTAGGACTGGCAAGAGCAGGGCAGGAAAAGCACTTAAATTTGAGGCTTATAGATTTTGTCTTCCTTCTTTATTTTCTTTCTTCCTAACTTCCTTCCCTCCCTTTTCTCCTCCCTCCCTCCCTCGAGGTAATTCTACTTTACTTGCTCCATTTGGGAGTACAAAATTTAGATCCTACACGAGGACACACACGGCCCTTCAGCTGACACTTTGGCTCACCGGTGCCTCTGTAAGTTCAGCCAGGACCTCACAACAAAATGCTTCTCTGTGGCAGAGGCAAGGCTTATCTAGGGAAATCCCAGGTCTTTTTAGCCAGCAACATAGGGGACCAGAGGAACACGCTGTGCTCTGTAAATCTGTGCTGCTCAGGCCCATACCTGGCCCTGAGTTCGCCCCGGCTGTACCCTGTAGTTCAGCTGCCTTCGTGTGCACCCTGTGATGAGGCTGCCCTCTGGAGATTCAGCCCTTGGTCTCATGCAAGGGCTCCATGCCCCAAGAAGGCTAATAAATGGCCAGGCCAAGGCAGACGAGCACCCAAGGGATACAGTAGGGGATGCTGGATGGCTGAGAGGACTTTCCTTGCATGCAGATGGTCCCTGCTGTGAGGCCCAAAAGTTGAAGAGGGTGACTGGAAGCTGTAACCAGGTGAAAAGCAAGTTCGGATAGTTCTGCCAAAAGCAGCGGTTGGAGGCGCAAAGCCTGTGAGAACTAGCTTTAGTGGCTGCTGGGCTGGTGGCCACACTTACTTCTCCGAGTCTCCCTGCCCTCACCTATGAAGTGGATAACCTCTATCACACAGGGGGCAAACACCATGCCCTAGGCCAAGAAGGCCCTGGCTGTGCTCTCCCCCAACTGGACACTCCGCTGTGGACTCAGCTGTATGGATGCAGTGAATTGGCCATGGTCCCCAAGCAGGTGTGCTATGAGGTCGCCTTTGGACATCACTCATATACTCCCAAGCCCCCTCAGCTGCCTTCCAGCTGGATGCGGTGCAGAAGTGCAGCCAATGATGGGGGTTGTGGAGTCAGATTTCTGGGTTCAAATCCCAGCTCAACCACTTGTAGATGCAGGAGTTTAGGGAAGTTTTTCCTTTGTAAGGTGGGAATCAGAGTAGCAGCACCCCCCTCAGGGGGCTGAGAATTCCATGAGCTGGTTTCTGTGCCTGGCACATAGCCAGCACTCAGTACTGATGCTGATATTCTGAATGATCAGACAGCCACTGATGTAATGATCAGCCCATTCACTTCTCAGGGACCCAGTGTGTGTGGCTGAGGCCCTGGTGACACATAAGTGAGTCAGTCCCTGTCTCAAGGATGGAAACGGCCAGCGAACAGATGGGCGACGGAAAGTCAGGTTGTGATGGTGTGAGAAGAGAGAGAGAAGAAGGGAAAGCGCAGAAGGCTCTGAGGTGAGAGCTTGGAATCAGCAAGGAGGAGGGGAGGAGCTAGGAGTGTCCCGACAGAAAGAATAACCAGGAAGTGAGGGAAGTTTGAAAAAACACTCATTTAGGTAAGATTTGAAAAAACACTCATTTAGGTAAGAAATGTCTGAGCACCCCGTCCTAGGCACTGGGAAGACACTGCTGTGAAGAAGACGCCGACCCACCCTCATCAGGTGAGCTGGCACTTTCTCCCATGACGGGCGTCCCACCTTCTCTGCTTGCAGCGCGCACTTAGCAGATACACCCGCTACCCTGCCTTCCATTTTAGTTTTCGATAGGGCAGGCAGATCTTCCGTGACCTCCGGGGAAAGGCAGGAAGGCGCAGAGCTGGTTCCAGGTGTCTGGTGCCCCCTACTCTACCAAGCCGCCCTGTAGGAGCCTGCAGTCACTCTGATGCCCCATCCGCGAGCTATAAGTGGGCTATCCCGGCTGGAGCAGGCGTCCACCGCAGCGGACAGACCAAGGCCAGCCTGGGGGGGCCGAGGGCCTGGGATCTCACCCTGCAGGACTGCGCGCTGGGAGGAGGTTGGTTTGGAGACAGCAAGGTGCGACTCACAAAGAGGGTTGCAAGACCCCGCGCCTGTGAGGACAGCGGCTGCAGAGAAGGAGATGGCTTCCTCCAAAGTGGGTCTCGAGGCAGAACCGGAGGCGGTCTAGCCAGTGGCTGGGGCGCGGGATCGCCGGGTACCAGTGTTGCCGCATCCCCGCTGCGCTCCCTCGCACTCCAGCGGCTCAGCGGCGGCAGCGCAGCCCGGCACCCGCCAATCCAGCCCGCGGCGCAGCTCTAGGCAGTCGGGGTGGGTGAGGGGCGACGGCGGGGCGGGGAGCGCCCAGCTCAGCCTCGCTGGGTGGGTGCGGGGCAGGGTCGTGCACTAGTTTTCCACCGCGAGGAGCGGAGGCTGACCTGTGCCCTGCATACTCCAGGTGGGTGCTGGGAGAGGCTGGGGGGTCCCGGCACTAGAGTAGCGCTCTGATCCAGTCTAGGAGGGGGCCGGGCTCGAACCAGGGATCAATCTGGGGTGAGCCGGAGATGGATGCGGGGCAGCTGTTAGCGCAGGAGACCCAGGTTCTTTCGCTCGGGAGAGCGGGGTAGCACCCCGGCGGCAAGCAGAGCTCAGCTTAGGTATCCAGGGTGCGGAGGCGATCCGGCTTGGGGCGCACGCAGTGTGGAGGGGGCAGGGGGCGCCAGTGTCCGGGAGGAACTGCGTCCCGACCCGCTCTGGATCCTGCCCGGTCGCCGGACGGGTGTGGGGAAGAGGGGCCGGGAGGGGGCCGGGGCGGGCCGCGGGGCGGGGCTGGGAGGGGTGGTCTGTGCGCCTCGGACCCGCTCGGGACTCACGCAGGCGGCGGCTGGCGCGGAGCGGAGATGCAGCGGCTCGGACGCACCCTGCTGTGCCTGCTGCTGGCGGTCGCGGTCCCCACGGCCCCCGCGCCGGCTCCGACAGCGACGTCGGCTCCCGCGGAGCCAGGCCCGGCTCTCAGCTACCCGCAGGAGGAAGCCACCCTCAACGAGATGTTCCGCGAGGTTGAGGAGCTGATGGAGGACACGCAGTACAAGCTGCGCAGCGCGGTGGAGGAGGTGGGTGCCCGGGCTCTGGAAGTGTGCGGCTGGGGGAGCGGGCCTGTGCTCCGAGCTCGCCAGCGCGCTGGGAAGGGCCAGGGCAGTCACCGAGGGACCTGAGGGAGGCGCGGGGTGAGTTGGTCGTTCTGTTCTGCCGGCAAGCCAGAAGGTTTGGACTCAGGCTGTCCCGCAGAGTCTCGGCTGGACTTTGCCCCGCCCCGGGAGTCAGGGTCTCTGTCTGCCTGCAGGCTGTCTGCCACCCGCTTGCAATTGTCTTAGAGTGCGGGTTGGACTTCCCGTGCTGGCAGCGAAGTTTGCAAGCCCCCTGGCGTTCCGGAGCTGTGGTTTTTGCAGAGAAACTCGGGTAGTTCCAGGCAGCTCCAAGTTCCAGCCTGGCCGCTCCAAGTTCTAGCTTATGTATTGAGCTTTGAGTTTGTGGCATCTCTCCAAAAAATAGTTAGGACATCGCACGCCTGTAAGCCCAGCACCCAGGAGGCTGAGGCTGGAGGATCGCTGTGAATTCCAGGCCAGCCTGGGCTACAAAATGAGTTCAAGACCAGCCTAAACTACGCCGCGAGATCTTGTCTCAAAAAACTAAAACAAAAAAAGTCAACCAATTCAGATGGCATAGGGCTCTGCTGTCAGTCTGTCTGGGCCGACTTGACTCCTTTAATGCATTGTGGGGTAAAAATGGAAGGTGGAGATCCTAAATCCCAGCTACTTAAGTCAGAAGGTGGTGGGCGAGGATGTGAGAGGCGACCCCACCTCCGCCCATGAGTGCTTTGCAGCTAGGCCTCAGCCTCTAGGCTCTGCCTTCCTCGCTCACTAGCAGGTGGCCCTGAGCGAATCATGTAACATCCAGAAAGAACCTGTTTCCTGTAAGAATTAAATGACTTAATGTAAGTGTGGGCACCCTTCAAGTAATAGGTGTGCACTGTATCATAGCTAATATTATTAGATACCAGATACCATTGTCTGGCTTCTCCTTTCCATTACTTCCCTGGGCTAATGGATGACGTTCTACTCTGTCCCCCACCATGGACCCCAAGCATGGAGAAGGCTGCCTAGGTCCTCCTGATCTGGCGTAGGGAGCTGTCCCTGGTGCCCGGTGTGTGCAGGCATGGTCCCTCTCTGGCCCAGGTATAACCTATCTTTGGAGAGGAGCCAGCCATCCCAGTGAAGGAGTGAGTGAGAGACCATATGTCCAAGCTTGTGAATCAGGCTTCTCCACATTCCAGCTGTCTCCAGCTTGGTAGCAAAGTCTTAAATGAAGCTTTTGCCTACTGGGAGAGGTCACTTCCACCCCCTCCCTCCTTGACGTTGTGTAGCTTGGAGTTTGCAGTGAAGGGACATTGGGTTGGCAGGCAGCGACATGGACGGCTGCACTTGAATATCCACAGGTCAGGCCCAGATCCCAAGACCTATGGGTTCTATTTACTGACCAGTCATGACATGGAACAATGCAAGAGTGAGAGGCATCAGGTAGGCCCCAGTGACTCTTGACTCTGCAGCTTCAAGTTAAATTGAGCTTGTGATCCTTCTCCTTTCAAGGCCAGCCACTTGATTTCCTTATCTGGATTATAGGACTTTCCTACTGCACATGGATGCCCATTAGGACTGAGTAGGTTGCCGTGTCTTTATTCAGTGGGAGAATGACCATCGCCATTTGGAAAGTTTGCAGTGTGGTCTCTGGGATTAGTTCCTGACTAGTGGTGGATGTCTTCACCAGTCTCTTTTCTGATCAGAGCACTGTAGGCCCCAGTGGGACCTTCGTGGCTGTGTCTTCTGCATGGGAATATCCACACTGGGTTTCTTCAGAGCTCCATCCCTCCTCCCTCCAGACATGGCTAGGCTTGTGTCATCCTATACATCCTTGCAGACTGAGGATAGAATGAAGAAAATTGAACACTTTCATGCCAGGAGAGTGGGCAGGAGGGGACTAATCTTCCTTCATCCTGTCCCCACTCTACCACTTACTAGTGGTGGGGTCCAGGGTCTGAAAGGGGGGAAATATCTGTCTACCCCAGGAGTAAAGGAAGGTTAAAAGAGGATTCAAGTAAATCGAGTTATCTGACCATTTAAAATGGAAATAAGTACAATAGATCCGATGCAAGCATCTTTCTCATGAAGTCAGGCTTATTATGGGTGATTGTTATTTCTCAGTAAATAACAGCTGCTTTTATCACCATATTAACAGTACCATTGTGACTAATAGCCAAGCACTGCCAGCATGGGATAGACTCAGTAGAATCTATCTTTAAGTTATCTTTTTAGATGTCTTAAAGTATTAAAACCTAATGTTAAAACACTAAAAATATATTTTAAGAATATCTTCAAAACTAGAATAGAATACAATAGGGGCTGGGCATTTAGCTCAGCAGCACAGCACCTGCCTGGCAAACACAAGGTCATGAGTTCGATTTCCGGTACTGGAAGAAAAACAAACAAACAAAAAAAACAAACAAGAATAGAATACAATATTATTAGGTTAGGGCCATTATTATTTTTCTTAAAGGAGCTTTCAGAATGCCTTTTAACTCTGATAAACACAAAATAGTTGTTAGTTGTCTTAGAGAAGGAGCAAAAAAGGCCTGGGCCAGATGCTTTGACTGTTTACATAGTTGTATCATGACTCTGCTTTCAAGTAACTTCCTGGTATTTTATATATTCCAGCTGCTTCAAGCTGTTGCTGTGTCTTAAGAGAAAAAGACAAAGTAGCTCTACTTGTAAGATCATTATTGGGAGAAGCACTTTTTAAATGGCTTCAGTCTGGGGTATTCCTGTCTTCCTGTCTTATTATTCTGAATGTTACTAATACATGTATTTGGAGAACAAAGCCACTCCCTCTGTACCACCCACACTGCCACATCTGGAACTGACACGTTATAGCGCGTTCTTGTTGCCCTACCTGGTCCCAGGAAGAACCCCAACTACCAAGCCTGAATTTATCTGTCCCGTGGTCCTGCTGTGCCCTTTTAACAGACAAGGAGTCAACCAGCTCTCCATGCCATTTTTAGCAGCATTCACATTCCTCCTCCATGAAACAACTGTTGCTTCAGGCTAAAGTTTCTCCTGCTAGTGGTAGAAATAGTTGTGGCTGAAATTTCCATTGTAAACTATACTTTGGGTTAACGGTGCCATTAAGGAACTGTTAGCTCATTCTGCGGACAGCCTGAGCACTGGCTGAGGCAGGGAATGCTTTTACGGAAAGGCTGTCAGCTCAGCCGGCAGCAAGCCTGTCAATTATTTGGAAGCCATACAGATGATGCAGAGTCCAGTGGGAATTTCTTATTCTGGATGCATCCTCTCTGGCGTCTTCATTCTACTCTTTTCTAGCTCTCCTCTCTTCCATCACTAAATACGCCAGTGTCTCTTGCTTTAAAAAGAAAAAGTCATTTTCTTGCCCACCCTAGCTCCCATCCTGCTTGCCTTATATTTATTCTCCTTTCTAATGGGACAATGTTATGAAGGTAGTGACATATTACATATTGTGCATGTGGCAGGTACTGTACCAATACTGAGAGCTCATAATCCTTGATTCTTTCGTCCTTTTAACAATATAGAATTGTTGCTCATTTTAAAGACTGGCAAGTTGGGGTTCAGAGGGATTTGGTATCTTACCCAAGGTCACGTGGCCACTTTCTGGCAGAGCTTAGACTTGAACCCACTTTATCTGACTCCAGAGCTCTGGAACTTCTTGCCATGCTGCCCTCTGTTGATACTAGAGGCAACTGCTTGTGTAATCCAGTGGCGGTCTCTTAAGGACTTAGTCCTTCTGTTTTGGAGCCTTTGTCACCTAGAGGACCCCTCCCCAGATATGGCTCCTTTCTAGACGTGAGTCTAGCTAGTGCCCTGGCTCTGCTGTTTTCCTTCTCTAGTTGCTATATTCTTTCCCAACTACTCTAATACTTGCTGAAACTCCCCATTGCCTGGAACAGAGGTTCTTACCTGGCACCGGTGGAGCAGAGGGACTCCTTGGAATCATTGAAGAAACTCATTGATATCAAGGGGTCCCATCTCCAGAAATGCTAATTTTGCAAGACAGAGAAGGAATCCAGGTGTGTTTGTTTTGAAAGTTTTGGGTGTGACCCTGACATATGAATTTGGCTGAGAAGCAGCCAGTGTGGTCTGCATTAGAGGTCCCTTGTACTTCTGCCTGTTGACCCCTCTGTGCTTCATCTGCTGGCCATTATTTTTCCTGTGCCCATCAGGGACCCTCTGCTCTAGCTCACGGCCCACACCATACTGGTCTGGGCTGATACTTTGCAACTTGTCTTATTTGCACCACTCTACACTCCTCTCAGTCGCAATCTGGTCATCCTCTGTGACCAGTCCAGTCCAGTCCCCTCCTCCTCCTGGAAGCCTGGCTTCTCCTGTGACTTGCTTGCAGAGACGGTCACACAGGACAGCTCATCATTGCCCTCAGCTGGGTTGTCTTCTAGTAAAAAGCATAAGCTACTTGTGTGGAGTAAAGTCCTATATAGAGAAAGACAGACAATTTAGAGTCAACCAGACTTGGGTTCTGGTTAGAACCAAGCTTTGCCACTTATTAACCAATATGATGATCTCTCTCAACTGTGTTTCCCTTCCCCTGCAATATGGGAGGAAATAGCACCTTTTCATTGTCAGGTTGCTATGAATATTCAAGGAACCTGGTGCAATGCTCAGAGTAGCCAGTGCCTCAGTCGAGGGGCTGTGATTATGACGATTGCTGTAACAAAGCCAGTGACATTGTGTCAGACATCTCAGCATCATCTGGTGTTATTCCAGCACTGTGTTCACAGTAGGCTTGACCAAGCTTGTCTGATGAGTTGGACCTTTGTTTCCTGCAGACTTCTTCGCATGTCTAGCTCAGTGTGTGTGTGCTGCATTGAGATGCAAGGGTTCTTTGCCCCATCCTCCCCAGCTTGGCAAATGTGGTCAGGGGAAGTGGGAAAAAGAGGCTCATCTAGTACTGAAGGGGAGAGAGGGCAGTGATTTTTTTCAGTAGGAAGGTACTTTTTGAGGATTAAAAATAGCTCAGAGTTGTGAATAGCAATGTCAGAAAACTGCCAACCATCAGCTAGAACTTCTCATTGTGCCTCTCCTTTGAAATTCCCAGAGAGAGTATCTGATTGGCTCAAGCAGTCCATGACACGGTCTTGAATGAGTCACGCTGTCAACTTGCACTCATCCAGGCTAAGATGAGTGTGATAAATCTGGAAGGCAAAGTTGGGCATGGGCATGTGTTGACTGCTATATATCTGATACAGATATCATGGAAGCTTATGAGCCTGGAGGATTTGAGAACATGACCTCAGAAACCTGACACCAGAGAATGACAACTAAAGAGCTGTCAAGAAGAGCCAGAGGGAGTGAGGATTTCCAGGAACTAATTCACTTAATCTCCCCAGAGGTCTCTCTGCCAGGACACCATACATGGGTACCCAAGAGATGGGGTAGAGAAAGACATAGCTGTGGCTTCGGGGGATTTGGGAGGCTCTTAGAAAATGCTAACAGGAAGAGAGAGAGGGTGAGGTGGAAAGGAAGAAAAATATGAGCAGATTAGTGTTGTGGGCATTTGGGGTTCAACCCCACTGAGCGTCATCAAAGAGAGACTGTCAATTCTGTTTGCCACGGGAGAAAAGTCTGGAACATTTACCCCATACCACATCCCTCATTGCTCCCATTCATGATCTATGCAGACCGAGCACACTGCTGAGGCTAGAGACAGAGTTGACTGTTGGCCCATGTGAGAGCCGAATGCAGGTGACCTCCAGATTGGGCCACCAGGATATGGCCAAGGCACCAAGAGCATTTACATGGGGGCCAGGACCTTTCCATGAAAACATGTTCCAACTCCACCTTTTGCCAGGACTCTTGGGAATTCATCTAGCCTCCCTGTGCTAAAGTTTCCCCATGTGGAAAATAGACACATTAATACCTCTTTGGGAAGATGTAAGATTTTAGGGTTATAGTACCTGGAAAACATTTGGTATAATGCCTGATCCTAGTGGATTCTCAGTCTTTGTCACTATACTTTGTAGTTACAAACGAGGGAAAGAGAGGTGGTTCTTTTTTTTCTATTGCACCCTCATTTGACACCAGTTTTGCTCATTATTTTCGTTGTTTTAACAGATGGAGGCAGAAGAAGCTGCTGCTAAAACATCAGAAGTGAACTTGGCAAGCTTACCTGCCATCTATCACAATGAGACCAACACAGATGCCAAAGTGGAAAATAATACCATCCACGTGCACCGAGAAATTCACAAGGTAAGGGCAGTCACGGCCACACTTCTTCCTTTCTGCAGCACCCCCGACGTCTGTTTAGCATATTTGATAAGTAAGCCAAACATGCAAATGAGGATGGTAAGACACAGCTTAAAAAGGAGAGGAAGTAAGAGTATTGTTTAAAGGGGAGAAATTTGTATCAGAAACTTAAATTGCTTTTGCATTTAAACAATAATTTTTAACTCTAGGCTTCCTGCCAGCCTAGGAGGAATCTGTCTCAGGTTTTTACGTATGTCTCAGTGGTGAGATGAAACAGAAACCAGTTCTGATGCATAGATGGATCCTCACTGCTTCCTTTAGAGGAACTCAGGTGATGCATCCGATCCCCGGAACAGAAACCCTTTGTTTCTGTGAGGTGAAATATTCGTTCATTTGCTGCTTGTCCCTCCAGAATTCTGTAGCAGATTTTTTCCCTCAACCTACCATCTGTCGAGTATCTGTTGGTCTAGCATCTTGCATGAGGAGCAAGCAGATTCTTTCTTGGCCTGGCCTGTTGAAGACAATTTTGCCAAGCTAGAGGAACATGGTAGTATCCTGGTAGGTGGTCCCTCCAGTGTGGTTTTGGCAGGACTCAGAGAACAAACTGCATCGGTCTGAGTTTTCTTGAAGAGGGTGTGCCGTACAGATATTCAAGGTCCCTGTTGGAGGCTATATAGTGGACACTCTGTTGTGTTTATCAAGGAACTTGACCTCTAATCTCATCTGAACTCCTATGGGCAAGGCCAGGATGGCTTTCTAGAAAGAGCCTTGTGCTTGTTCAAGCACCCAGGTAATTACTTGGTTGAAACAACTGTGATTCTGTGCCCTAGAATGCAAGGGGGTTAACTTTTGTGGGTCATCGCTTTGCTTATAAAGTAACTTTTGTGTGACTCTTGTCCCTGCATGGTGATGGGCCCAGATAGCTGGACCAGCTGAACAGGAGCCCTAGGCACTGCTCATCCAAAGGCTGGAGAATGAATCTGAACATGATTATTGGATTCTTCTCAAAGCCAGTATTAACCATCATTTCTGACAGAAATTAGCCAACTGGTTCAGCTGCATCTTGAAGTTGCTCCTTGTAGATGTCAGAATATCTGTGTGTGAGTCCTACCAGTAACTTGTGTAACTTTGAAAAGTTATTTAAAATTCCTGGCCCTCACTAACAGTGCTATATAATATGGATATCAACATTTATGTTATAGAATCTTAAGGGTCAAATGATGTAAGGTATGTGAAAGCTCATTGTAAATGATAAAGCGCTATGCAAATGCGAATTGGTCTTATTCTTACTGTTGTTATAGCAAAGTTATATTACCAGCACAGTGACGTAATTCTCAAGTGGGTTCCATGAGTCACCCATTCTGTGCAGTGCTTTATGAAAGAGGACCTCAGTGCTGAGGAACTTTATTTGGAAAACAGTGTATATATTTTCCTCCAAGAGATGGAAAAAATTCAAGTGGGCATAATAAAGGCTCTGAGAAGTTCTGCCACTCATTCACATAAAAATGTAGAATTTTAAAAAGATATGGCATTTGTTAATCCTGGAAAAGTTGCCATGAAGAAAGGTAGACATCATCCCTTTTCTGGGAAGAGGACTTATTTGAGTGAACATTTTAAAGCATGGTGATAAAGATATGGTCCTTCCCTCTTCAGAACTGGAATTTGATCCTTGAGTGCAAATAAGGCTGTTTCCACTTTGTTCTGGCTGTAGACTCTTGTGATATTGCAGGGACTTTAAAGATAAAGTAGAAATGAGAAGACTAAATCAGAGAAGAAAAGAGAACTTACTTGTTCCAGGTGATGCAGGGTTGTGGGCAGTAGAGGCAGGTTTCAAAGAACATAGACCTCCTAGCTCCTGGGCCAGGCCAGCCATTCATCCTGGCTTTGAATGAGGCAGGAGTGGCCTGGGTTTTCTGTTGGGCTTAGCTTTGAGGTGCCTGCATTTGGGTACAGAACCAGAGGCAGACAACAGACAGAAGCATATGGGCAAGTCTCCTGTTGTATGCAAGAGCTTTCTTGACGGAATAAAGTCATTCCCCAGAATCAGGAGTGGGAGTGCTATGGCCAAAACCTTACTTATCATGCAAGATGTTCAAGTAGCCTCACAGACCTGAAACCTATCAAAAAGAAAGTTGGTACATTAAGAAAAAAATCAGGAAAACCATCCTCTTTATGGTAGAGCAAAACAAACAAACAAAACTTACTAACCAACCCACCCAAGGAGGTAAAAGACTTCTATAACAAAAACTAGGAATTAGGAAATGGAAAGTCATCTCCTCTATCTGGATAGGCAGAATCAATATTGTCAAAATGACCATATTATCAAAAATGACATACAGATTTAATGCACTTCTTTTCAAAATACCAACAACAGAACTAGAAGAAGTAATGCTAAGGTTTATGTAGAAGCAGAAGAGACCCAGAATAGCCAGAGAAATCCTGAGCAAAAACAGCAAAGCAGGAGGCATCAAACCCTAACTATGAAGCTGTAGTAATAAAAAACAGCGTGGTACCAGCACAAAAATAGATATGTAGACCAGGGGAGTAGAATGGAAGATACAGAACCCCATAACCTTTAGCCATCTGCTCTTTGACAAAGAAGCTAAAAATATACACTGAAAAAAGATAGCTCCTTCAACAAATGGTGCTAAATATCCTAGTTATCCATGGCAGAAGAATGGGATGAGACCCATCTCTCTCAGCCTGTCCTAGAATCAAACCAAAATGGGTCAGTGACCTAGTTATAGGAACAAGAACACTGAATCTGCTGGAAGATAAAATAGGGAAAACACTTGAAGACATAGGTACAGGCAAGGATTTCCTGAGCACAACTCCAATAGTGTAAGAAACAATACCAAGAATCAGCAGATGGGATTGTATTAAATTAAAAAGCTTCTGCTTAGCAAAGGAACCAAGAATGTAAAATGACAACCTACAAAAGGGGAAAATACTTCTGCCAGCTACTCTTCCAATAGAGAACTGATATGTAATATATACAAATATATAAAGTACTAAAAAAATTTAGACCCCTCCAACAAATGATCCAGTCCAAAAAATGGGCAAAGGAAATGAATAGACATTTCTCAAAAGACAAAATACAAATGGCTAGTAAGTACATAAAAATGTGTTTAGCATCTTTAGCCATTAGGGATGTGCAAATCAAAACAACACTGAGATTCTGTCCTACTCCAGTAAAAATGGTTGTCATCAAGGACTCAAAAGCAATAAATGCTGGCAGGGTTGTAGGGGATAAATGAGCCCTTCTACATGGTTGGTGGAAATTTAAATTAGGATAATCACTGTAGAAATCATTTTTCTCAAAAATACACTATAAATAGAAATTGTGTTTGACCCAGCTACACCTCTCCTAGGTTCTTTCCCAAAAGGGTTAAATTCATTATATTACAATAGTACTTACATACCCATGTTTATAGCAACATAAATCACACTACCTAAACTATGGAAACTGTCTAGATGCCCATCAATAGATGAATGAAGAAAATGTGGCATATGTACACAATGATGCATGATTCAGTCATAAAGGATGAATTTGAGTCACTCTGTAGGAAAATAGATGGATCTTAAAACCATAATATTAAGTGAAATCAATCAGATGCAGGAGGTTAAGTATTGTGTGGTTTTTCTTATTTGAGGAAGCCAAAATATGAATGAATGTAAGAGTAAAATAAAGGAGAGATGGTAAGAAACTTTTTGGAGATGGGGAAGGGGATTGGAGGAAGAGGGAGGGAGGGTGGTGGGATATATATATCCCAAAATTGTAATTATTATGTATCAAAAACATATACTAAAAATAAAAAGTTGACATCACATTTCAAATGACGAGCCCCAAGAATGATGAGGATAGCTCCCACTGCTGAGCACCTGCTAAGTATCAGGCACCATTGCCCATGGCCACCTCCTTACCTTCTCCTAGCAACCCAAGGAGGCAGACTCTTCTGGTCTCCTGGTTCAAAGCTGAGGGTCACTGTCCATCCCACAGCTGCTGGTGGACTCTGAAGCAGGTGTGGGCATCCTGGCTACTTTACTTGATGTTCTTATTTCAGAAAAGGCAAAAGAAAACATCTTGTGGGGTTTCCCAAGTCCCTTTGATTTCACTTTCACTGTACCTGTTCTACTGCAGATAACCAACAACCAGACTGGACAGACGGTCTTTTCAGAGATGGTTATTATGTCTGTAGGAGATGAAGAAAGCCGAAGGAAGCACGTAAGTTGCCGTCTCCTGTGCCTTTGTGTGGCCCGCCCTGGAAGCTCACATTGCGGGCCATGGGCAGAGGAGCTGACTCTGCCCTGCTTCTGCCTCATTTCTGCCAGGATCCCGCAGTTCCTACTTTCTAACCAGACCTCACAGTCTGGTAGCACCCTATGCACGATATCACAAACAACAGAGAACTTAAATCCAGTTGTCATTTGCATCTCAGATGTGAAAGGGGAGCCAGCAGGTACCAAGTATACTGGCTGGGGGCCCTGATAAAGAACCCCCGAGCCTTTGGCATGGCCCACATTGTGCATAATGCTAGCCCTGGCCAGGTAGCTTGACGGCAAGATGTGGTAAGTGGCCTGAAGGGACAAAGGCTGTCCATTGTTCCAGGCTTTGGGCTCTGGTCCCTCTGTGACTTCTCCCCCTGTGTTTTCTCTTGCGTAGTCCAAAGGTGGAATGGATTTTGTCAAATTCTAAAGTCCTAATGTTAAAAGGGTAAGAAGGAAAACCTTCTGGGGACGACCCAGTGGGAGCCCCTGGTCTGATCTCCAGGCCAGAGGAGGCTCAGTGGCGCTTTGTCCTCTCAAAGGGATGGCTGGCTGTGACATGGACATGCTCAGCAGTAACAGCATTCCTCCTTTATGGGGACTTCCGGGACCCAGTTTCTCTGTCCCTGGATGCCTTACACAACCCTCTGGCTTTCCAAGTGCATCAGATTTGTGCCTTCCTCTTTTGGCCTTTTAGCTGGAAGAAAACTAGTGTACTGCTCTTCGTTAAGAAGGTGGTGTCATCTTGGTTGGAAGTTGGAAATGCTTTTGCTTGTTTTGGCATGGTGCTTCAACATTGGGCACTGGAGAACGTGTACTGCAGGCTGGTAGTCTTGTGGGCTGTGTGAGGGTGGACCGTTCAGGGGGGTCTAGTGGGTGTGGGCACAATGCAACGAACAGGAAAGGGTACTGGGTCTGGAGAATGGAAGCAATTTATTACCTACAGGCAGGGGCCATCTTGGTTTCTTCATCTTCGTGTGAAGGAACTATAAAGTAACAATGTCGCTACTTCCTAGCCATGGAAGAACGGAGGTCTATGAGACAGGGAAGGGGTTAATTGAGGTGAGAAACAGGAAACTAGCTGGCCAAGGATGCAGTCCCCATAGAAGCTGGAGTGTTCCCAGAGGGAAAGCTTGCAGAGTACCCCTGAGGGAAGTCTGTACGGGGGCCTGATGAGGGACAGGTTTGGCACCTACCCCATGATCTTATGTTCACTGGGTAGTGGGGGACACCCCTCTGTGTGACACCCCAGGAAAGGAGGAGGCTGGACGGGATGGGTAGATGCAGGACACCCAGAGGCAGACACTCAAAGTTTTACTTGATTTCTACTCAGGCCCTGAGGACATCGGGTCAGTGCGCTTCCCTGTGGGAATAGATGTCCATTTGACTCACTGGAAGGCAGATCTGGGAAGCTGATGGAGGACCAGCCAGTGTCCGGCAAATGCCCCAGGCTTTAGGGAAGACTGGAGACTTGTCAAGCTTCCTGTGAGAGGATGGCAGGTGGTGAGATGGTGTTAGGACTTCAGGGCAGACCTTACTCTTTGTAGAGGGGCCGATCTAGAGTCAGGGGAAAAAGACCTAGTTTCCAGTGTGCCCAGCAATCTCCATTCGACCTCCCTGCCCTAACACAACTGACCCAGGGCTCAAGTGCTGTCTTCACTGAGACGTGGCTCTCTCTCTCTGAGCAAGACTCTTATGAAAACCAGATTGCTTTTAGAGAAACGCAGAGGACCATGCATTGTCACTATGGACTGATTGCTTGGTTTTGCAATTTAATGATTTTTACAGTTGGATCTGAACTGCACTTCATATTACAGAAGCCATCTCTTAAGGAAAAAGGCAGATTTGTCATTGCAAAGGACAAAATTGTATGCCGTTCAAACCTTCAGCTACCTTGAACGGGGGCTCAATGTTCAGGATTTAAAATTCCCAGGTGAATTTGATTAAAAATAATCACCAAGCACCTCATGTTTTTCTTTCTTTAAATGCCAGAATGTGTGCTAACATGTATGGTAACTTGATCAGGCTCTCGGAAAGTTACAGGCAGTAACTCTAGATGCCTGTCTAGGAGTTTGCAGACTGCAAAGCCCCGTCTGTTTGTGCACTCAAGTGTAAAGGGGAAAGGGCGGGCGGGCTCGTTATTTCACCTGAGCGCATCGGCAACAGTGATGTGGGTGGACGTCCTCGCGGGGGGCTTTTGTGCTGCGTCCTCATTCGGCTGCTTCACGGGCCGGTGGGTAAGCTGGCCAGCGTTGTGCTATTTTTGTGCAGGGGATTAGGAGGAAAGCGGCATGTTGAAAGCTAGAGCAGCCGAGCCATTGTGCCCGGACATGCTTTTATTGATAGAAGAGTCTGGCCCATTTAGCCAAGGCACCATTTTGAAAGGATGCACCCTCTAGCTAAAACGCAGCTCGCAGCTGCAAGGCTCAGCATGCCTTCATCTGTTGCCTTTCTAGTTTCACTTTCTAAAATGATTAAACAGAACGAGTGTGTTTGCTTTTCCACCCAGACACACCTAGTTTGAACTGCAGGTTCACTCTTGTACCACCAATTGCAAAATACTGGTCAGTTTCTGAGGCCACGGATAGACAAATTTCAGTACCAGAAACACCCAGACAGCAGAGTTGGAGCAACAGTGACTTCCCAGCTCCAGAGAGTGACCGCCGCCAACCCCCCCAGTCCTTTTTTGCCTAGAGACAGTGAGCGAAGAGTGATGACTTCTTCCTCTCTTGTGCCTCAAGTTCTTCTCTGCCCCAGTTTGTTCCTGCAGCCAGAGGAAAAGCAGGTGCTGTTTCCTCCCGGGGCCCTATTGAATTCGCAGAATATCCCAGGACACCATGTTGTCCAAGCCCTGGGGTAATTTTCTAGGGAGACTGAGTGCAAAGAGGACAAAGGTCCCAGGAAAGGCAGCCCTTGGGGCAGAATGGAGAAGTGTGGACAAGGTGTGAGATGTGCCTGGTTTGAGCCAGGCCTCAGCCCTTATAAGCTCTGCCCTTGGTGACCCTGTTTCTTTATGGGTCGTTTGGGGCTGATAATCTCCCTTTCACAAGACTGAGGATCCAGTGTGGTGAGGTTTATAAAAGCTCTTTGTCTGAAGCTCATTATTATTGCAAAGTAATTAAAACTGGGCTCTAATTGGCCTTTCCCCTGCATCCCAGCAAATTACTGCAAAAACAATGGACTGAGTCTAGAAGCAGAGGAGATGTGGGAGGCCTTTCCCTTGATGGTGTAGCCCTGGGCTAGTTTCCTTCTGCCTCTGGGATTTGGGTCCTCTGAGTTCTCAGGAGAATTTTGCTGGGGCTGCAGCTGCGTGCTCTGAGCCACAGGGCTGGTTCACCCCAGTGCTGCCCCTCCTCTGAGGGTGCCCTGTGCACCTGGGGTGGGTGTTGGGGACGAAGGAAGGGCAAAGAGTGAAAGGCTGATAGGCAAGTGCTGCAGAGTCGTGAGCTGAGGACTCAGGCTGGCAGTGTGGGTACCGGTTCCTGTAGAAGAACGCAAATACATTGTTCTAAGGGTGACAGTGTCCCATGAATATCCAGTTCCATGCTCGTACAACCACGCAGGAATGTGGCTGTGTGTGTGTTTTTACATTCAGATTTTGAATTAACTTTGTGATTTCTAGTCATGTATAAAGTCCTCATGCTTTATCCAGTAGAAAGATGTAGTGACAGGGAAAATTAAGTAATTGCATCATTGCTAGATATGAGTAAACAATCAATCCTCCAGTAAATAGTTAATTGGGCAAGCAGATTTATGGGGTAGGGATTTCTTCTTGAGCTGTTACCTGGGATATTAAGTTGTATTCTCCTGTAGTGAGATACCCTTTGAAAAGGAGTTCATTACATATAAATAAGTCCACATCCAAAATCATACTATGGAGCTCATATATGAGTTTCATAAAAGTTGGTATAAAAGGTTGTCTTTGATCAAATGTTCACTTAGAAAAGGAAACCCAGAGCAGTATATATAATATATACATTATATAAAAATATATATAAAACAAAATATCTCATTTTTAGAAAAAGATGCATTGAAAGTGTAATTATATATGTTAAAGTGTTAATGGTAGAAATCTCTGGAGGAATTCAAATTTGGTGGGGCTTTTCCTTTATAGATTTTTATTCTTAAAAAATATTTTTAAAAGACCTTGTAAATTATTTATAATGTTGGCAGAACTACTGGTCTGTGTTTTTGGATTTTGTAAGTATTTTCATTGTGTCCGTGTTAGAAATAAATTTGCTGAGTCAGAGGGTGAGGCAACGTAGAATTGGAGAGATCCTGCTGAATTTCCCTCTAGACGATTGCACTCATTTTCCTCCTCACAGCCACTTCTGTGGCTTCTATCACCACGTCTCACCTACAGTGGGTGTCACAATGACTGATTGCTTGGAAGGCAAGGAAAGAGGACAGCTTCTTTGTGCTTTTGCATTGTTGATGATGAATAAGTCAAAGGATGGCTGTTTGAAAATTGTAAGTTGTAGCAAATATAGAGGACTCCTCAAATTGATCTCAACCCTTTCTTTGTCTCAGAGAAAGGTCACGTTGCATTCCAGCCTATTCCCAGGGCCAACTACTATTGCTCCAGGGAGGGGAAGATAGGGAGGTGGGAAGACCTAGGAGACCGTGGGCTGACAGCTGAGTCACACAGGTGACTTACATGCTATGTAAGTGATGGTGACTTACATGCTATTGCCTCTGCCCCTGAAAATTAAAGTAAGCAGACACTCCCACCTTCCTTCCTTCTTCTCTTCTTTCTACAGACACCCCAAACTGGTGTGTGCATGCCTTTGGCAGAAAGAGCACTTCAGTGAGGTAGTAAAGAGCTGGGTACAGGCATATCAGTTCAAATGGCATCCCTGCTGCTTATTAGCTGTGAGATTTGGGTTACATTTCTGTGTAGTCAGCTTTGCATCACTGTAACAAAATGCTTGTGAAAAATCAGCTTAAAGGACAAGAGAT